AAATCCACCTTCTCATGTGTTCTTATAGCCTATTATCTATATAGGCTTCTATCCTTCCATGCACCGGCTTGAACTACTTGCTTCCAGTCTGGGCTAAGCCACTTCTCTTGTATGTTGAAATCATTGTCTATCCTGCCGTTGATATTTGGTTGATAAAACGAAAAAACCAGAACAAAAAGGTGTACTAGAAAAAAGATCGTTAAACGTTAGGAGTTGATGTCGGTTTCCTATTAACTGCTTGTATTTCATCATGATTCACAAGGTAGAATATTAGTCTAGAGTTTTGACATTCCATTATTTTCATTGATGTCAGTTACAATCGGTTTGTAATCTGAATCATTGATGATAATCTTCGTGGTTGTCCGATATTTTGACTGATTACCGAGGCCCAAATGCCGAAAAACATTTATTGAAAAGATTCATGACAATGCTGGTTCAAGCTCAAACTTGATCATGTTCCAAGCTGGTTTGAGTTCAAACTTGAGCACTTAAGCATGTTGGATCGTACGTCCTCTTATATAATGTATCGGCACGATGCCAATTTGTAGCATAAGATTTATCTCACTAGACAAAATATCAGTTGCAGGCTGGCAACAGCTGGGGAAATGGTTCCTTATATTTTGTATTACAGAGAACCAAAGACTGATTTGTGACAGAGAAATTAGTGATTGAGAAATTGATGATAATTGGTAATGGGGCATCATACACAACAAATCCATGAAATGAATTGTAAATTATTAGTTCTTAGCTATACACAATCATCAAGCAAAACAGATTTGGTTCAACCTACCAGAATGATACGAACCATAGAAGTAGTTTGTATGTATATAATAGAAAATTTTCACAAGGCCAGAGATCCCACCTGCAATTTTGAAACTATACCAAAGGGTATTTATTCTCGAGTACATAAAGATTGGGTTTTGTAGTTTTTGCTAGTTACCTTGTTTATCTAGCAGGTCCTGTCCAACTAGGAGGAAGGCGATCGGATGCCGCATGTCCTGTCCAATTAGGAGGAAGGTGATCGGATGCTGCGGGAGGCATGCTACAAACATTGATGTCGGTGGGATATAAGCGGTATTTAATATCGAGGTCGTTGAAAATCTTAATCATCTCTTCAACCAAGAGTTCCCTTCTTGTCCATCTCTCCCCCATGTCTTGGTGATTCATTTTATGTGCGAGCCATATTGCTATCCTCACTCTGTTCAGCTCTTCGAATTCCTTTAAGATGATCATTGGATCCGGATACCAGTGGTCGCTCTTGCATTCGACGAAGCTGTGGTGCATTGGATCAGACATGTTAGTCATATGTTCCATTACTCGTCACACATGAACAGAAAATACTCTTTTAAACAAAAGCAAAGCAAGGTAAGCAATTGCATTTTTTCTACTCACCTCAATATCCTCTTCTTGATTAAACCAATCTTTTCTGCAGGAGTTTTCACATGGATACAGAATTCGACTGCATCTCCCATATCCGGGCTACGATAGTAGTTATGTATGGCCTTCGTAGCCAGGACACTGTTCGGGATTATGATCTTCTGGTTGTCGTATCTTAGGAAAACAGTAGTTAAGATGTTCATTTCCTCCACAATAATCTGCAATTCATTTGTTGTGACTTATTGATAGCTCAAGCATTCAAACAGATAATTCGTAGTTCATGTGATAGGTAGGATAAAAGGGGGGAAAAGTTCACATGCTTATTTAGGTACCTGAATTCCATCGATTTCGCACCTGTCGCCCACATCAAATGGGTGCATAACAAATATGAATATAATGGCTTCAAACACTGTCTTGCAGGTGTTTCCAAATATGAAAGCTACAAGAAGCAGTTGAGAGCTAATGAAAACAAGAACTTTGCTGGTGGCGATTTCGAGGATGAGGGCCAAATAACCACTATGATTGTGCCAACCAGAACGTCCACTACCCGATGAAGTCTGTTGGCAGCCGTTTTGGTATCGTTCAGTGTCAAGGTGAGTGCCCTTCGTTCTCTGAAAGTATTGACCTACATCAAAGTGCATCGTCACATTATTAGCATACATACGGGGGACATGGTCTTGCTTTAACGAGTGCTTGGAAAATATAAGGTTCCCCTCCATCCAACGTGATAAAGACGGGGTTGCATATATTCTTACCACCCAATTCTTCAGGGCCTTCTTGTTAATTCTCCTTCTTTCGGATGCTTCTTCAAAGAGACTCATAGTCTTCAAAGCTTCATCTTCTTGGAGAAAACGTCCAATGCCCTCCAAGTAGATGAACCTGAGACGACAATTATTAGTGATAAGACGAGGAAAAAAACATCTTAGGTGCATGTTTCTTAAGAATTCAAGCCAGCCAGACAATATCATGTTACCATTAAGCCTGCAACTCATCAGTTAAACTAAGAACAGCAACATATAGTTACTACTTGTTCACAGCTAAGTAAATGATATTTAATGATAGTAGTTTAAGCCACAGATAGAATCTATTGCATCGTAAATGGTAATAATAGACGCACTTGGATCCGGCTTAGAAACATTCTGAAATATTCTTCTCGCTGCAACTTTTGCCTCATGTTCATTTCTAATTTTGTTCGCAGACTCATCACGTGAGTCGAATGTTGTATCTGTTCATCCAGAGTGGAAAGAGCCCCATGGGCAGACTATATTAATCACCTTTTCATATTCCAAGAAGAGACATTTTTATGATTCAGTTTGTGCAAATGGTCAATTGTTATCCCGTATCATCCTTCTCTCCTTCTCCGAAGAAAGCACACGGGAAAGCATAGGACTTTTTACTCGGGGACTTTTCTGGCTCCGTCCACTCCCTATCGTTCTTGCAGAAGGGGGCGATGAAAGGGTAGACGTCCTAAGCCCCAGAGGAACCTTAGCACCGGCTTTCTGCAGGCTCATAACTTCGTTCGCAAGTCTCTCCTCTTCTCCTCTGCCCTTTGAATCTCGATCAACGGAGGACCGGAAAGAGTCTCGATCACATTGATGTGAAAACGAGTCCTGGATTCTATCGAAATAAGTACTAACATGGAAAGAAGAGGCCAATACCTTCACCAAAAGAGTCTTCACTAACCACAACGTTACTCCCACCACAAGACAAACCAAAACTTGAGTAACATATCCAAGAAATTTACTCTTGGTTTCCTTTCAACTTTCTTGTCAAGCAAGTAATGCCAAGCAATCAGAACCAAACCCAGCCATAAACAATTCTGAACAGCTTTCTTCACTCCATAAACAAAATACAAACCTTTTCCTCAAAATTAAATTCTTCTCAATAAAAAACACAATTATCCTTATAATCCAACCTGAAACCAATCTGCCACAGATTAAAACTAAAACCAAAACTTCCCATTTCCATAACATAAGCTGCCACAAACGTTTCTCTCTTAAAGAACGAATTGTAAGACTGCAAATTAAAGCAGCAATAATGGCAATCAAACTTAACCATTCAAGCAAAACCAGAACACTTGGCTTATATTTCTTGTATTCATCAGGCAAATCCTCTTCGAGAAATGGATCATCATCTTCTTCCTCCAGATGTTTCCCTAGAAACCCGGATTTCGTTATCTGTCCCGACCTCCCGGTGCCGGCTCTAGCCGATTTCGGCTCACCTTTTTCCGGTGTGGGAGGGTCCATCAACCTGGACTTTGTCTTGGTGGCTAATAAGCTTGATTTCCTCTGAAGAGAACTACCTTCGGTTCTTTTGATTGAAGAATTTGAACTGCACTTTACAACCCCATCACCCATCCCTATAGTCCCTACTCTCTTCTTTACTTTGTCTTCTTCTTACAGGGTTGTTCTCAAAGGAGACTCTTGGAATGGCCGCCGCTGCTGGCGGCGAAGGTGATTCAGCAACTGTGGACAATGAACGCCGATGAATATGATGATCATGTGGGGGCTGTTGTTTAAGTTCATCCATCTCCAAATCCATATCCAATGAAATCTCACCTGAAGCTTTTGCTTAGAATAAAGCAACCAACACTAATCACTCTCACCTATCTCTAGAATATCATAATTGTATTACATATATATGTATGAGTAGACAAGTTCGAACATATTGCAGACCAAAAACAGACAACCAAAACAACGAGAATTCATGGTGTAGTAAATTGAAATACAGAAAACAAGTCATTACAGTACATTACATTCTCCTAGTATTGAAATACAAATATAAGTCATTATGTATCGAATGTTGTTCTTTTTAGAAGATTCTGATTCGAACAGTTATATCAAAGAAAATTAATTAATTACTATCATTAGTCGACATGTCCACTGAAAATATAAACGACTTGGGGGTACTTCAAGGAGCTCACTTCACCTCAAGCATCTTCAGAACTTACTCATTGAAGGACGATATATCGGCTTTGTCTGAATGCACCAAAAGGCGACAATTACCATTTTCCTCACAGTTTTCTTTTCATTTTCCGTCATGTCCCAAGCTCTATCTCCCCCAGCTCAAATTGATCATAAATCCATGAAGGGAAATAGATTTGACTCGAATGATCAGCAGAAGCATTCAAATTTCTCCTTCTCCCCACCATTCCATTAGCATCATCCCAAAGCTATAAACATCAGCCTTATAAGAAACACCTCCTATGTTCTTGTAAAACAGTTCGGGAGCCATGTACCCCATTGTTCCTCGTGCTGCTGTGAGAGACAATACTGTCATCTGTCGAATACAGCTTCGCAAGGCCAAATCCGAGACTCTAGGGTTGAAGTTGTCGTCCAGAAGGATGTTATGCGGCTTGATATCGAAGTGTAAGATCTGCATGGCACAGCCGTTGTGCAAATATTCGATACCTCGACGATTCCGAGTGCGATTTCGAACATCTTTTGCCAGCTTAGACTGTTGCTTTCTGGGGAGAAGACGAACTTGTCTAGTGATCCGTTCGTCATGAAATCGTAGACCAGAGCTTGTTTCTTGCCTTCCACCAAAATCCGATGAGTTGCACGATGTTCACGTGGTGAATCTCCCTATCGACGCGACTTCGTTGATGAAATCTTGGCCTTTATCTCCTCGTCCATCGACAAATGCCTTCTTCTGAATTTGTACAGAACAAGGATAATCAAGCAAATTACCCCCAAAATTGTCCTTGCTACCATCACTGTTCTTTCAAGAAAAAAGTATCAGAAAGGAAAATCGAACAACAACATAACTGTAAAATGTGTACTTTCGTTTCTTAATCATTGATAGAAGTATAGGACTAATGCGTACCGAATTCTACAACAGAAGACAATCCAGTTACAAGAAGATACAAGAAATAAGTGCTACTTGAATGGTAGGAAAGTAAGGGCAAATTCTTTAATCAAATGTAATCTATTAATTAATAAAAAAAATTTAATAATCATATGATCCTGTTAGTAGAGTGTCAACAACAATCGCAGATGGATATATTTTCACAATACAAAATTTTAAAATATATACTTTTGAGTGATTATATGATACAGTTTCATGATGTCTTGTCGTAAAAATGAATAAAAATCTAAATGCAATGACTAAATTAGGAAAATGATTTTAGGTATCAAAATGGACTAAATTGTCAAATTTAGGTATAATTCTTACATTATACCTTTTTAGATGCTAATACTTTAACACCATTTTTGCAAATTTCAATTCTATCAGAGGTTATAATAGTAAGCGAAATCTGTAAAACAATAACATACCGTCATTAGCACTTCCAAGGAAGGTCCCCAGCCTGGAGTTGAGCAAAACACATTAAAGAAATGGTTAAGTTTATCAAATATTAAATACACAATTTATATAAAAATAAGAAAATTATACACAAATGATAATCTAACTCTAAGATATTATCAGTTTGTTCGTTCAGAAAACATATTATTTTATTAAAAAAATATATCCACTTTAATTTAGTCACTGACGTTGCAAAGATATTATCAGTTTGTTCGTTCAGAAACATATTATTTTATTATTATTAAAAATATATCCACTTTAATTTAGTCACTGACGTTGCAAAATATTGTTCATTTTATTCTTACAATCTCTAAAAAGTAATAAATTCTCCAATTAGTCATCCCATTTTTAAAACATTTCATTTTAATCATTACTTTTTATTTTAATCACTCAATTGTTTTAACAAATGTTGATATGTCTTTCTTTTTTGGTTGCACTCCACAGTTCTAAGGCTTCGCCTTGACTAATCTGGACCGACCGGGTCGCACATCTGACTTTGATGGGTGACTCTCCCAATGAGGATTTTCTACATACACAGGACCGAACTTAAGACCTTACTTAAGTGATATCAAGCTTACCACTTGAACTATTTTATTTTATCAAATAAAACTCACTTTAACCAATTATAATAAAATTCATTTTTATCCATCTTTTACCTCTCATTAGTCTCTTTCCATACTAACCCGTTACATGTTATCTAGGAATGGACGGGGCGGGGTGGGCTGCTTTTTTGGCCTCTCCGGCCTGAGCCGAAAACATATATCTAAAATTTGATTTCGCCCTGCCCCGATGAATTTAAGTTTTTTGTCCTGAATTTTAGATTGAAACCTCGACCGATTTGATCCAATCTAAATATATTATTTTTAAAATTAATTTAAATGATAAATTTTATAATAATATATTTATAATTATTTATTATACTTAAAACGGTTAAATTAATATATTATATAATTTATATTTTTAATAATTAATATAATATTTTAATAATATAAAATATTTTTTTAAATATTAATTATAGTATATATATATATATATATATTAACTGGGGCGGGTGGGTCGGTGATTTTCACCTTAAAACCGGCCTCGCCCCGCTCAAAATTTTTAACTCCCCCCCACCCTGCCCAAAATTTTTTTTAAAAAAAACTATCCCTTTAGGTCGGGTAAGATCAAAACCCGTCGATTCAGGTATTTTGACCATCCCTAATGTTATCACGATTCGAATCAACCCCTATATCACTCAAACAATAGTACTTATCTCTGCTTTCCCTTACCCTCTATTAGCCATTGATAAACTAAAATGAGCAATTTTATAATAACAATATTATTTGAGATGATTTTTAATGACTGAAATAAAAGTGTACTGAAAGTTAAATGACCATTTAATTAGTTTATCCAAAAATAATAGAGTAGAGAATACTTCAAAACAACAAAGTAAAGGGCAAACTACTTTTTTCTTCATTACTCAACTTTTATAGTGATTTTTTTTACAATCAAATATAAATTTTTTAATTTCATCACCAAACTTTTGAATTATTTTTCTTTTGTTCACTTTTCTGTCAATTAGTAATAACATTATGACATATTATTTAAATGTAATAACATTATGACATATTATTTTTAAAATTTATACAAAGTCCACAAAACTTTCTTTCAGTTTTGTGCAAACACCTATGCAATTTCTTTCTCAAAGTTCTAACTTAAATTTTCAAATTCCCTTGATTTTTCGACGCTAGAAAATTTTCTTCTTAATATTAGTAGAGAGGTGAAGAAGAGATGAGCATTAAACCCTAATTCTCCACTGATCAAACGATGAAAATTGATTGATGAAAAACGTAAATTACCCATAAGTAAAACGCACGAAGTAAAAAATCCTTACATTACAAAGAAGTGCGGTAAAGCCGGTGACTCTCTCCATCTGAGTTGGACGCCCATCATTAGCTTTTGTAAATATCAGAAGTAGAGGCGCCACTAATATTATGCAGATCGATCGGAACCCGGGCTTCAACCGTGCACGACGGATGTAAATCAGACGGCGCCGTTTCGCCATCCAAAAAATAATAAAAGAATTACTATCGTTGGTGGAGATGAGGAAGAGCAACGAGAAGCATCGATGTAACTAACCCCAGACCAAGACTTATTCATCTTCCTACTGCAGCACCACGTATATCTCGCTATAATTATAGTACGCATAATGATCAACTTCCGGTTGAAGTAATGTTCCATTATAAGAATCACGAAACGGAAGGGAACTGCGAGGAAGGAGCAGTTACGGTTGTACAGATTCACATCTAAAAGAGTAATAGTGTACTTAACATAAGAGATGTGGACATAGAATTTCCTTGTTCGCCGGAGAGAATTGTGCGGTTGTTGTCGCACAGAAGCCCAACATATGAAACAAACGGATTACCACATATAGGGGCTGGGATTTAATCGAAAAGGGGCTGATGTTAAGGTTTCCACACTGAGTAAAGCGGCCACAGTGCATGCCTATGATTCTTCGGTGCAGCATGAGGAACGAAGATAAAACTAAGGCAAGCAGGTGGAGGAAGAGCCAAAAGAAGGGCTGTTTTGGTCTCGTCATCCTTGGGTACTTTCAGTGACAGGAAATGAGATTAAGCTGAGGCTAACAAGTGAAGAGTTCTATTTCATCTTACCATTTCTGCAATTTGTGATTTCTTAAAAAAAAAAAAAAAAGTCCGTCAACTAGTTAAAACCAAACCATAAACCAAAAGTCATTATCACTCTAGCTCTGTGCTATCCCCTCATCCGCGTTGTAATGACCATGACAGGAAAGAAACTTAGAGGAGGAGGGATAATCTGTGAATTACCTTTATATATTAGTTTAGATTCGTTTATTAAATTTTTTATGTTTTTTAAATAAACAAACATGTGTTTGCAATTTCTTGGAAATTATTCAGAAAAACTTTCCTCAATTATCTGCCATAATGTAAAATACTTGTAGTCTCTGTCACCGTGGACCAAGACCTTCAAAGTTCTGTTGCAGACAAAAGTATTGCATTTAGGTTGCGTTTGGTTCACGAATATAAGATTACCAGTGAGAATGTAAGATTATAAGGGAATAGGATTACTGTGAATTTTGTATTTTGTGTTTGGTTGTTTAGCAGGAATGTAAGATTACCGTGTTTGGTTAAATGAATAAAAGATTATTGGAATGTATATTTGAGCATATTGTCCTTATTATATATTTGTTTTTTTAACAAGTTGGAAAAATATTTATATATTTCTTTAAAAAATTTAATTCATAAAATTTATATAATTTTTTATAAAATTGAAAAAATAAAAAGGTTTAATGAAAGGGTAAAATTTTATTTTAACTCCTGAACTATAAAATTTTAATTATAGATTTTTTTTGTAAATCTAAAATAGTTTAAGGATAAATTTGTAATTTAACTTCGTAGAATTTTATATTCAACGACAGAAAAATGATATTTTTGAAAAAAAAATTAAGGGTATTTTAGTCCAAAACACCGATAATCCAACAATACCTAAGAAAATGAAGATAATGATATTCCCGGTAATATACACAAAAAAATTCACTATTGATAATCTTACATTACCAGAAATGAGATTCTCAACTAACCAAACGGAGGAACGTGAATTTCATTTCCATGAGAATCTCACATTCCTCCATCCAAATACCCTTATAGTCAACGCATGGATTTAGAATGGTCAATCAAATAGGATGCGTGATTGATGCGGTTTGCATGGTTTTCTAGAAGTACGTGTATAGTTTTCTTAATAATGAAGTCAGGTAGTATTCGAATTTTCCTTGATCATTACTAACGCGCTACGTACATCTTACATATATGTTTATTTAAATTCGAAAATTTTAAAAAAATATTTTTCTTCATTGTTAAAATCTTAATATTTTTAGAATAAAAAGTAATGATAATTAGTTTTTCAGGTCGAGAGTATTTTCCCCCCATCTTTAAATGGAATTTGCAGGTCCAATCTATTCTTCTACATCGTCTTGTGTTGATTTTCATGGTAGATTTAAGCTTCTATTTTAAAAGCGCAAGCCATATTACCGTAAAGCCCAAATCTATCCATATCTGGTCCAAGCTTGATAACCAAGGAATTAATTTCTGATTACTGATTGCAATCACCGGGCAGCAAAAACCGAGAAAGAAATGAAAGTAAAAGCCAGATATGAAAAACCATCTATCCGGTTTGTACTTTGTAGTAGTTGATAAAAGCAGCAAAGGGTGAACCAGTAGAATGTAAAGCCAAAGAAATGGCAATCCTTTGTGCTTTAACCTCACCCATTTTCTCTTCTTCAGAGAGAACTTCATTTGGTTCTTTGAAAAAGACTATACCCAGTAACCAAAGCTCATTTCTTGGGTTCTTCCCAGTTCTGGCATTGTCCAAACCTTCTGGTGTTCGGACGACAACAACATTGTCTTTCTCTAAACGGGATTTCAGGGTTCGTTGCCAGGACCTCTCTATTGTCCCTGAAAACCAGCGTTGGATGTTCGAGGAATCCGAGGCTGATGGCCCTGTAAGACTCTTCTTCTTTCTTTGTTAAAGTTTTTTTTCGTCTTTTTTCTTCTGGGTTTTGAGTGGAACGTTAGTTAATGTAATTATGACCGCTGAAGTTGTTATTCTTAGGGTCTTTGGTTAAACCCAATTTTCTCTCGAGCTTTTTGTTCATTTTGTCTGTAAATTTTGGATTGTTGTTGATTTGAACCTTGAGCTAGACTTGGTAAAAGTTCAGCTTTGAACTTTATCTGTTAGATTATTCCTGGGATTGTAAAAGTGGATATTTCTAACTTCGTTTGAATGAAAATTACTGGTGAACATCTGTAAGTGGAATTTCTGCTCTAATGGTGTGCATAGACACTTATTAATTGGGGTCTACTTTCACTTTCAAAATCTTTTCATGTGCTGTGTAATTCGCACTGTATTCTGTGATGACATTTTGCTTTTCTCCCCGCATGCCTTGCATCGACAATTTCTGTTCATATTCGTGGAAAGAATTTGGCCACTTATACTCCTAGTGTGGATATGGGAGCCTTTGTGATAGTGGTAAGCGGTTGTGGTCGTTCGGTCGTTCGTGCTTGTTGCTAATCAAGGTTGAAAAGAGGTTTAGCTCTGACGAAATTGTTGGTTGCGTTGTGCAATTTACATGATACAAGTGCTCTAAAAGTCTTGGTTTCTTTATTTTGGACATGATTTGTTCTGTGGTGACTATGATTGTTTTTGGTGTGCTTTGACTCCATAGGTGAATGCTGAAAAAGTTGCTGTATCCGGAAAGAAAAGGACGCAAAAACTCTACAGGAGGCATTCAGGAAGACCGGGTGGCATGAAAGTGGAAACATTCAACCAGCTGCAGCAGAGAATTCCCGAGAGAATTATTGAGCATGCTGTTCGTGGTATGCTTCCTAAGGAAGGGTAAGTTCATTGTTTCTAACTCGAGACCAACATGTAGATATTTGTTACAAGAACTTGGGTTGAGTGTCGGATATGAGTATGTACCTACTACCTAGTACAAGTCTGCTCAGTTTTTCGAAGTTCTTATCAAATATATCAGAAGGTTGTACATATGTATATATGAATGTGTCAGACATAGATGTAGGACACAGGAACTTGAGAGAATGTGAAGAATCCGGCACATAAGATAAGTTCTTTATATGAATTCATATGTAGATATAAAATTTTCCATTCAATTTACCAATATTTTGGGTGCGAAATGAAGGGAATAAATCCTTAAGCCTTTGGAATTTGTCTAATTGCTGATCAATCAATCCGAAATGTCTTAACTATTTATCATTGTGTGCTCAGCTTTTCTTGCACGTCTGTGCTCAAATACTGCTATCTGCTAAGCTGTCCATGCTGTTTAAAACTTGTTAAGAGTTTTCCAAATATGAGTCGGGTTGGGGTATTATTTTACCAACTATATCAAGGTTATCAACTGCTAAATGATAAGCTTGCCATGTCGTTTAAACTTTGTTAAGAATTTTCGAAATATGACTTTGGTTGGGGTATTATGTTTTCTCCAACTATATCAAGGTTATCAGCTGTTGCATTGAATCCATTTTTCTTTTGTATACTCTGTGCATGATGTTTATCGATTATTGACTTGCGCTTAACTCGCATTTCCTCAGCTTGGTAGAGCATTGTTTAACCACCTAAAGGTTTACAAGGGCCCAGACCATCCGCATGAGGCCCAGAAGCCTATCGAGCTGCCAATACGGGACAAGAGGGTACAGAAGCAGAGATAAACAAAGATAAAGCAGGGTCTGGCTTGAGAGAGGGTAGGCAATGATGCCTCCCTATTTACCTGGCCATTTTCTCATGTTTTTTGGTCCCTCTGGCTTGAATTTCTCTCTTTGGCTCCCGCTATGTGAATGTGACAGCGTGCTGCTCCCGTTATATTTTGATCATAGAGGTATTTGAAATGAATCTTACTCTTCTTGAGCTGAGTTGGATGCTAAACTCTGATGAATATGTTTCAGTTTCCTTAGAATGTAGTTTAAACGGATCCGTGTTCTTGAATCTAGGGATGGCAAAAAAACCCGAACCCAAAGGGGAAAATCGAAAATTGAATTAAACGGGTCTGGTTCGGGGATGATAAACGGGGACGGGGACGGGGAAAAACCATTTATGCTAAACGGGGACGAGGATGGGTTTGGTAATCCCCGCCCCGATTACCCGCCCCGATACCCGGTCCGATAAATATTAAAATAATATATATATATATAATATAATAAATTTAATTTAAATTAAAAAAATATAATATTTTATTATTTTTAAATATATATCCGCTCGATACCCGGCCTGATACCCGTTTAAATAACCTTTATGCTAAACAGAGATACCTGTTTCCCTGCGGTTTTCCCCGATACCCAATGGGGATCCCCGTTAAATTCCTGGGTTTTTTAAGTGGGGACGGGTATCGGTTTTTTAAACGGGGATGGGAACGGGGGACCAATACCCGGCCCGAACCGGCCCGTTGCCATCCCTACTTGAACCAAGTTTGATTCGTAATCGATTCTTTTGATCATTTGTTCACTGGACTAGTAGCTAACCGGATGCAGGTGTTGCAGAAAAAGAAAAGACTTCCAAGAATCGAAGTTTTATTACTACCCGGCCCGAACCGGCCCGTTGCCATCCCTACTTGAACCAAGTTTGATTCGTAATCGATTCTTTTGATCATTTGTTCACTGGACTAGTAGCTAGCAACCGGATTGGTTGCAGGTGTTGCAGAAAAAGAAAAGACTTCCTTTTATTGGAATCGAAAGTTTTATTCGCTTACAATTATAAACAGCCAATGTGGCTGTTAATGAGTTGATAAATTATCTCCCAACAATATCTATGGGAAAAGAATTATCTTACTGAACCAAAGCTGCATATAATAGTTGGTTCCAAGTATCAGGCACACCGGCAAGACACCAATGGCTGCAATCGACAAACTTGGGGCCACCGCCAGCATAAACGGAAGGATGGCCGTCTTTCCGTAACTGTGTTAGCAAAGTAATATCAAGTAAATAGACAGGCTTAGTCATTTTACTCAAAACAGTCTTTAAGATAGCTTCCCCAGGCACAGGAGGGCCAGGGTATGTTGACCCTTTCAGTGGCTCTGTTTCTTTAATGCAATCTTTGTGGGATGGTTCACCCCATTCCTTGGCACTGTTAAAACAAAGCAAAAATGAAAGAAATTTAGTTGAAAAATCTTGGGGTAAATTCTTGAGAATGGATGAGAAGTTTCTAGAAGTTACTTGATATGAACTGCTGCAACTCCCTGGAAGAAGACTCTGGTCTTGGAAGGATCAATGTTGTTATCAACCCAATTTGCCCAAGTTGTCATTGCAATCTGGTATGCTTCTATGTGATCCATCTCTTTCACAGTCTTGCTTCCATATTGAAAGTAGTCCCATCTGCATCACAAATTCTTCAGTTCTTTCATTTCGAGTTCGGATCAATTCGATTCTTTTAGTAAGAATTAAACGGAGGAGGAAGTACGATTGCAGGCGTCCGGAGTGAGTCCACCAGTGATAGCTATTGAAGATCAAGACATCGGCACCCAGCCACAATTTTCCTGTACTGATCGAATCGAGCTTCAAAACTTTACCAATCTTTTCGTATGCCATATCTACCAGAAATCCATTTTTAAGCCAGTTAACTGAAATCCCATAGTCCTGCAACAAAAAAAAATGTTATTTTTGAACAGACAAGAATGTTGGCAAGTGAAATTTGGAGATACCGGCAATGAAAACGATGAGAGCAACCCTTTTGAGCTAAATGTGTAGCTTGATTTGGGGACTGCAGAATGTAGCATGCAAACCAGTGATCTCCACATATTGTTGCTTAATGAATCCCCCACGAAAAGTATCTTCTTCTTCCTATATTTCTCCAGGAAATCGATTCCACTGAACCTAAGATCGGAATTCAAGAAACGATCACTAAATTTTATTGGATTATTATAATCGAAATATTATAAAATGTTCGTTAAATTTATCAAAATAATATATTTATTATACATCGTGGTGATCATTTTATAACAATTCAATAAATTTCATGATAATTTTATAATTTTTAAAAATTCTATCACTAAAACAATCATTTGAGTATAATTCAGTGACTTCTAATATACTTTACCCTAATACAAATCAGAGTATCTCCAAATTTAGATCGAGCCTATGCTTTCTCATCATTAATAATTTGGTATAATTTGAGTTTTCTTTCTTTCTTTAGTTGGAAGGAGTATTTTCAACAAAAATCACTTTAATATTTTAACCGGGATAGTTAAGGTATTTTTAGGGTAAACTATACATTTAATACCTAAACTATTAGTTTTGATCTATTTTAGTACCTAAACTTTCAAATTTTCAAAATCATATTTAATGTATAGTTTTTATTTCATTTTAGTACCGCCGTTAAAATTTTTTTGCGTTCAGTACTTAAACTATCAGTTTTAATTCATTTTAGTATCTAAACTTTCAATTTTTCAAAACTTAACGTTAAATTTTGAATGAGGGTACTAAAATGAAACAAAAACTAAAGTTTTTTAACGGCGAGTACTAAAATGAAACAAAAACTAAACTTTAAGTGCGATTTTGGAAAAAAATGAAAGTTGAGGTACTAAAACAGATCAAAACTAATGGTTTAGGTACTAAACACATACTTTACCCATAATTTTATAATAATAAAGAATCAAATTAGGATATATTAAAGTATGACGACTAAATGTCAAATTGGAATATAGTAGACACCATAACCATAATTTGACCAAAATAATCATTTTATCATAGTTCAATTACCTTTGATGTACTTTACCTTTCATATTATTACCCAAAAAAAAAAAGAGAAAAAAAGAAAAATAAGAAAGCTTTACCTGGGGAGTTCACAGCCATTAGGCTGCCATCTATACTTTAGGTAATTCCGATCAAGCCTGCCGTTTTTCTGGCAATCGAAGCCGCCTCCGATGAACGGACAGCTCGAAGAATCATAGAGAGGCTCAAATGAATCATCAAAAACCCAACTCCCTTGAAAAAAATCACAGTTCTTCACTTCATTTTCCTCCACTCCATGAACTAAAACGATGACTGCAGAAAGAGAAAGGAAAACTGCAGCAAGGCAATGGCCACACGAGAAACAAAGCAAAGCAGCCATGGAAGTATAAGCAAGTGAAGATAGCAGAGCCACTCAAGGTAGTATATAAGATAATCTTTGGTTTAAAAACAAAGGGCGCTTTAATTTCGATGTTTAAATAAAGTAACAGAATGCCTTTGTTTTTATTAGCATTGCCTGGCAGCCAGATAAGGACATAAAGTTCCAGCACAAGTTTAGTTTTTCTTGCATCAAATCTAGGTTTTAAGATTCTTGGACTGTTGTAAATTAATTAATTAATTCAAGCATTCATAAATGGCACATGTTCATTGGTTGCAGAATCCAAAGTTGTTTCAATTCTGCATTTTTCATGAGACCATCACTGGACTATAATAAGGGTTAGTTAAAATTTATTTATTTTATTTATATTAAAGTATGAAAATGTATAAATACTAATTAAAAGTAGTTTAACTGTATTTTTTATATGAAAAAAATAGTTTTCCCTATATAATATTACCATTCAAACCGAATCCCACGTATGTGCAGTTGTACAAGCAACTATTACTTGGAAGTGAGTCATAGCCATGAGTGTCAGAGGTTGTTATAAGCCGTGTTTGTTGTACTTGTTATGGTGTATTGTGCTGGATAGGATTGGCAGTTAAAAAATTACTCTTTGTTTAAAGTTAAAATTTGTTTTACCACTCTCGAGTTTCATTGTTTGACTTTGCACCACCTAACCTTCAATCATTTGTTTCAAGAAATATATCGGAATTTCAAATTATAAGATTGTTCATATTTATATTACTTGTGTTTGCTGTACTGCGTTGGTCGTCTTTGCTGCTTTGGCCATCAACTTATGTTTATAGGTAAGTAAATGTGTAAGATAAATGTTGGTTGAAGAAGGTTGGAATTATTGATGATTTGGTAAGCAGGGAGAAGTCTAAGTAATTATCACAAATCAGTAGCACGAACCAAATTACCTCATGGTTAAAAGAATGATTGTTATTTTTAGAGGTTTCAGGTTCAAGCATCAACAACTGCAGCAGAAGTGATCGAGAGTTCATTATCAAATGATTGAGAGTGTTTAGAGTAGATATTACTTTATAATCTCCTTAATTTAATATTAATAATAATAATAATTAGTGTATTGTATCTCCTCTAAATTTTATAAACACGACTATTATTGCATATTAAGACGTTTAATTTTTTTTATGTATTTCAAATTCTGAAAAGATAAAAGCATCTTCACATGTAGGGTTTAGAAATTTTGTACTTCTTGAAAGGCCGCTACTTTTTTATATGAACTTTGGTAGCTCAATATGATATGCTACAGCTAAATCTATTATCAACATGTCGTATTATTGCACATGTCAGCCTAAAGAATAATTATCATGATCATACCTTTTATATAAACATTAAAGGTCACTATAAAATCTCTTAATCAAAATTAAGAGAAGGATCGAAGACCATCATTTCCACTTCTTCCTCCTTATAGAAAGAGAGGATTTGAACACCGACCGGTCATCATCTAATCACCGATCACAATTGCTCACTCAAATCAGAAAGAGTAAATCTTTTAAAACCACCACAATCTGAATATTGTGAATCAACAATATAATTGAATTAGAAATTTATTTATACCTAAATAACTTATATTTCATTATATTAAATTAGTTGATTGTTAACCATAGTTTTTTTTTATTAATCTTTATAATTATGTAAGAAAAGAAATAAATCTAGACCATGTTCACATGGTGGTCGGGTCAATTACTAAATGTGCGCACTAATGGTCCCAAAATTGATTCTCCATGCGCATGTTCTTTTGCCTTTGTTTCTATTTAACGTTCCTTTCCGTTTGTTTGGTTACTTCTGTGCAGGTAAAATATATCACAAACACTTAATTACTACTAAAATTATACATGAATCATTCAATCTTAAAAAATTAAAAAATAAAACATTTAATTAATCATTATCACAAACATATTATTGAATCGTAGAAATATCGGTTTTTGACGTGAAATATAACATTAGATTTCAAAGAGTTACAAGCAAGTCACTCAATTAACTGACTGTAGCAATCAAGTCATATGTCACAACATTGACCACCGTCAACCGTTATATACAATAATATATTAATAATATTATGCAATTCAGCTTGGTTTCCTCATTCGATTAATCATATTAGATTCAATTTGAGAGCAATGCGAAGAGGATTTCATTCCAAGCATCAGGGGGTCCAGCAAGGCACCAATGGCTACAATCGTTCCCACTCTCTCCATAATAAACAGAAGGATGGCCGTCTTTCCTCAGCTGCGAAAGCGTTGTAATATCCAGCAAACTCACCGGCTTCACCATGCTTTTCAGCAATTGCTTCACTATCCCCACCGCCGCCGGCAATCCTCCGGGATATGTGGTTCCGTTTAGCGGAGTTTTTTCTTCTTTACATGTCGTTGAAACCGAACGGTTCCATTCCCTGCCACTGTCATAATTCAAACTACGCTTAAAATCGAATGCTTTTATCATACGAGGCACACTTATCTAGATAATTTTAAGGGTAAATTATGCGTTTATATCTAAACTAGCAGTTTTGATCCATTTTAATAATTAATTTTTTAATTTTTTCAAAACCATACCTAAAATTTAGTTTTTGTTTCATTTTAGTATCAACTTTTAAAAACTTTAGTTTTTGTTTCATTTTAATACCCCGTTCAAAATTTAACGTTAATTTTTGAATTTTTTTTTGAAAGTTCAAGTACTAAAACGGACAAAAACTAATAGTTTAGGCACTAAACACATTAAGGGTTTAATAGAGGAGTACTAAAATAAAATGAAAACTAAACATTGAGCATGATTTTGAAAAAATTGAAAGTTCAGATACGAAATGGATTAAAACTGATAGTTTATGTACTAAATGTATAATTTATCCTAATTTTAAAATGGCGAAAATATAATAATAAAAATTATAAGAGTTAATTGCACCATATGTTCCTAAACTATGACCCTCATTTCAAATTAAGCTCTAAACTTTTGAATATTCTAGTTTCATCCTCAAACTATACTTTCATTTTAAATTAGTACCCAAACTTTTGAACATATCATATTCATCCCCAAACTATAACCCTCATTCTATATTGATCCTCAAACTTTTAAATATTCTAATTTCAACTTTGAAGTTTTGAATGATTTAGGGGGATATTACTGGAATGATCAAATGTTTGGGGACCAATTTAAAATAAGGGTAATAGTTTGAGGCTGAATTTGGAATGTTCAGAAGTTTGTGGATCAATTTAGAACGGGAGTCATAGTTGAAGGATGAAATTAAAATGTTCAAATGTTTAAGGACCAATTTAAAATAAGAGTCATAGTTTGGAAATGTATGTTGCAATTTAACTCATATTATAATTTAACCCCAAAAAAAAACTTACTCGTAATGGACTGGAGAGATGCCCTGAAAAAGCACTTGACAAGTGAGAGGATCAACATTGGAATCAATCCATTTGGACCAAGTGGTTAGTGCCTCTTTGAATGCCATCAGCCTATCCATATCCTCATATATCTTTCCATTGGATTCAATGAATTCCCATCTGTTTAACATCTCCACAATATAATTATTTTACGTGTCAATATTTCTATAAAAACACCACTTTAAAATATAGAGGAAAGTACATAAATGGTCCTGGATTATAGGGTGTTGTTTTATTGAGTCTCCCGATTATTCATTGTGTTTCAAACTCGTCATTTTCCTTTAAAAATTTGATGGCAGTTTGATTTGGACGTTAACCTGGTGACTAAGATATGATATAATATGATCTCAGAATCTCAAACGACTATCATATCCCGGTCAATAGGTTAACTTTCAGCTCAAACTACCATCAATTTTTTTAATGAAAAATGCCGGTTTGGAACACAATGAATAGCCGAGTGACCATTTTATAACTTTTAAATGTCGATGGGCTTAAAAAAGCAACGTCCTATAATCATGAACCATTTTATAACTTTTAATAGCCAAAAGATTTAATAAAGCAATACTCTATAGTCGATGGACCATTTGTCTACTTTACCCTAAAATATAATATAACACAAAATCATATAAATTGAGACGGAGTTTGAATGAATTTGAGAAGAAAAATGATGAAAGTAAATGACACATACGGTTGATTCTTTCCCTTAGATGTATGAACCCACCAATGCCATGAATTAAAGATGAGAACATCATATCCTTTCCATGAGTAATTTCCATTTACGATTGAGTCTAGCTTTAAAACTACGCCTATATCTTCTTTCACCATATCCACAAGATACACATTATGGGAATACTCCAACGAGATTCTAAACTCCTGCAACAAAAACCCATTTTTTTTATTAAATAACAAATTGTTAAAAGTAATATATTTATATATTAATTTAACCTTTCAAAAAAATTGATAGTGTTTATCGGTATCAATAACGGTTCATCTCTTTTAATTTGAATAAAATATCGTAAAGTACAATGATAACAAAAACTCTAGCATGATAAATATTTGGGTAAACTAAGTATTTGATATTTAAACTAGTACTTTTGGTTCGTTTCAGTACGTAAATTTTCAATTTTTTCAAAATATATCTAATGTTTAGTTCCATTTTAGTACCTCGTCATTAAAAGTTTAGCGCGTTTAGTATCTAAACTATTATTTTTAAAAAAAGTTAACACTAAAACGGGATACTAAAATAAAACAAAACTAAACTCTATTTATGATTTTAAAAAATTAAAAATTTAAATACTAAAACGGATCAAAATTGATAATTAGATACTAAACACACGCGTAACTTACCCTAACTATTTTAAGACATATAATGTTTTATTATGGCTATAATAAAACTCACCGGCAGAGAAAAGATAGAGTGGTTGCCTACGCTCTTCAGAGCATAATTGGATTGCGGCACAGCTGCATGAACCATGCATAATAACGACTGCCACATATTCAAGCTTATCGAGTCCCCAACAAACAATATTTTCTTCCCCTCCATCTTCTTCAAGAAATCCAAACCATTGAATCTGTATAAAAGTGATTATTTATGCATATATATATATATATATATATATATGAGCATGATCTCTTACACTATATAAAATTAATAAATTTTATACTGATTTATAGTAATTAGATTTAAATAAATAAATAGATTAGATTTAATTAAAATTTATAACCTACAAATAAATATCTTTTAATCCACAGTAAAACAATATCTCTTTTTATTTCAATCCTAAATCACGAACTCCAAAATTGCAAGTCCTAAAAACTCAAATCCTAAATCCTAAAATTTAAATTTTAAACCCTAATAGTAAAAAAAGAAAAAATATTATTTTATTGTGAGCTAAAGAAATATTTATTTATGGATTATAATTTTAATTAAATCTAAGTAATTTATTTATTTAAATCTAATGGATATAAATTAGTGTAAAACTTATCAGTTTTGCGTTTATATATATATATATGTATATATATTATTTACCTTCAACAAATGAAATAATTTAACCTTTCTCGTTATTGATTAATATTATTAGTTTTTGGTCATAAAAGTGGATAACCCTTCACCGTCACCATACATTGTAAGATAAGCAGTATTTTGTTTGCATTTAAATATGCAGCAAAAATCTGTCATTTTGTTTATGAATCGTCATTTTCATACATCGTTACAATTTCTTGTCGTATTGACGCCACTATCTCATTTTAAGAAATCTCTCCATTTGGTATTTGGCTTTTTTAGGAAAAGAAAATGGTGAATAAAAAGATCGGAGAAATAAGTTTAGTTACGATATTTGTAGCAAAGGATGATAAAATGTCTATAGTTGATGACTATTTTCATAAAAATATATTTAAATATATATATTTAATGCATTGTAAAAAATAAGCATGATACTTGGCAAGAACAAGCAGTAGGGTTCCATTATATTTGAGGTAGAGTTTATCAGGTCGTCCATTTGCTTGGCAATCGAACCCTTTGCTTATGAAGGGACAATTTGAACTGTTGTAAAGAGGGTAAGCGTCATCTTCTATCCAGCTCCCTCTGAAATAATCGCAGCCGCCTCCCAATTCAGACGACTCAACTCGGTCGAGCCATGAAATCAGAAAAACAATGGAAAAAGCAAAACTGCAGAAGCTCGTATGGTAATATCCATGGCGATACTTCATTTTTTCTAAAGACAAAAGGAGGGTACAAAATGAACTTGAAAATTATGAAAGCTGTGCTGTATTGGAGTGGAGAGTGTTGCAAATTGCAGCAAAGAGTTGCAGATATTTTATATTTATACTCTCATTTGGTGTTGTATGGTAAATTTCATTATTACTTCTTTTTTCTTCCTTGGTAATTTAATTTTTAACTAATGTTTTGGCTGAATAGTAAAGGTAATGATATTTGATGTATTAATTGGTGGATTCTCAGACAAAATGTTTGTCACATTAAACTAAAGGTGATACTAAAGACCTACCGATTGGACAAGTGAGTTGTTTGTATAGGATCAATTCCATTTTTAATATTTTTTTAGTTTTACATTTGAGTTGCTTTTTTAACGGCAAAATCAATGAGATAATGCGTTGAAATTTTTTTTTTCACGAGATAGTGCCCTCGCCAGATTAATTGTTCAGATGGGGTGATTTCTACAGTCCCCATATAGGTCGCCATGCACGCCCAGCGACCTAGGTAGGTCGCCATGCAATCCATGCAGCCCCCAAAGGTCGTCATGCACGTCCCAACACACTGGGCATCCGAGGCCATCCGACCGAGGCCATCCGAAAGCATCCGAGGCCATCAGAGAGCATCCGATGCCATACGAACGAGCTATGCGAGGGCATCCGAGCGAGCTATGCGAGGGAATTCGAGCAACCGAGCGAGGGTAGGTCGCCCGGAGTACATGGCGACCTACAAGGTCGCCCGGAGTGCATGGCGACCTACGTAGGTCGCCATGCACTCCGGGCGACCTTGTAGGTCGCCATGTACTCCGGGCGACCTACCCTCGCTCGGTTGCCCTCGAATTCCATCGCGTAGCTCGCTCGGTTGCCCTCGGATGCCCTCGCATAGCTCGTTCGGATGGCCTCGTCGGATGGCCTCGATGCCCAGCGTGGGGGGGTGCATGGGACCTGGTAGGTCGCTGGCGTGCATGGCGACCTACCCCCAGGGACGTGGGACTGTAGAGATCACCCTATCTGAGCAATTAATCTGGCGATGACACTATCTCGTGAAAAAAAAAAATTCAACGCATTATCTCGTTGATTTTGCCCTTTTTTAACATAAGATTTGAGTTAATTTTAAGTTTGAATTATTTCAAAACGGTCTTCTAATTATAGGGCATCGCTTTGTTGAGTTACTCGGCTATTAAAAGTTACAAAATAATCGCCTGACTATTCATTATGTTCCAAACTCGTACTTTTTTGTTAAATAATTGACGGTAGACGTTAACATGCTGGCTAGGATATGATAGTTATTTGAGATTCTGAGATTAGATTTTATCATATCCTAGTCAACAGGTTAACGTCCAGCTGAGATTGACTTCAAATTTTAATGGAAAATGAAAAGTTTGTAACATAATAAATTAGTCGAGAGACTCAACAAAGCAATGTCCTATAGTCAGGGGATTAATTTGTAACTTTTAATAGTCGAAAGATTAACAAAGCGGCGTCCTATAGTCAGGGAACCATTTGTGTAATTTATCCATTTCATATTTAATGCATGATCTACATTAACAACAGATGGAATTCTAATGTTAAATCATAGAAACTAATTACGGAAGTGTACAAATTCACTTAATTTTACTACTGTAAGGAAATCCTCCTCGATATATTAATATATATTTTTCATGCATTCAATTGATTTTTAACATTTTTTTTCAAATTTCAACATTACATAAAAACATGAATTATGAGAATTTTTTCTTCTTCAAAGTATTCATTGTTCGGTTCCTAAGCACAGTATTCCAATGGCTACTGATAACAATTTTCTCAACTTCTTGTGCTCGAATCTCTGTTCTGCCAATACGAAGATGTCAAGCTTACAGGATAGAGATCCGAAGATGATGTCCATTGCCCATCTGCCAACATACTCTTCGTTTGGCTGTTGTTTCCGACATCATTTTCTTCGATGTCTCGGTACAGCTTCTCCACATCGAACTCGCTCGCACGAATATTCGTATCCGTGAACTTGTCCGGGACGGATGCCCTGCCTTCGAGCATACTCACCGCCGATGACATGGGAGGCCTTGCTTCTGCGGTAGGATTTGTGCATAAGAAAGCCACATTGATCATTGTCATTGCCTCTTCTGCGTTGCAATCAGAGGCCACCCTTGGATCTATCAAATCCAACAACTTCCCCTTTTCCTTCAAATTACGAGCCTAGAAACCAAATTTAAACTCATATTGTCAGATTTGTCATTGAACATGCCTATGAAAAATCAAGGAGAGTTCACTTACCAAACAAGTAGATAAAATGATTCTTCCTTTAAGCGGCTGTTTTTCGTGTTGCACCTGCCGCTGACGATTTCGAGGGCCACGATACCAAAACTATATACATCTGCTTTATCAGTTAAATGACCATGCATTGCATATTCGGGAGCCATATAGCCACTGCAATGTTAATAAGATGAATCAAAAACTGCTTTCCGTCAGCCATTTTGATGTTTATAGATGAAGAAGATGCAAACCATGCTGGTCGATCCGAAATGGGACTTACTAAGTTCCCTGCAATTCGGGTGCTAATGTGGGTTTTGTCCTTCATCAAGCTTGGCCAAACCAAAGTCAGATATTTTAGGATTTAGGTTCTTATCAAGCAAGACATTGGTGGCCTTAATGTCTCTATGGACAATCTTCAACCTTGATTCTTCATGGAGATAAGCTAGACCTCTTGCTATACCGATACAGATCTTCCGTCTAGTTGGCCAGTCTAATGTCAACTGAAACTCTTCTGGACCTTTTTCATAATCAAAATATAAAAGAAAAGTTCTTATTACTAATAGAAAAAGGAGCAAGGCACCAATGTATTGACATCGAGAACAACAGCCTTGCTCTTAATCTGAGAACAATTTGATATATCGAAATTAACGAAACCTACCACCGAACAATGCACGAGCAAGGCTGTTGTTTTCCAAACTCGTATACAAGTAATAGTTGATCTCCTTCAATGCAACATCCATACAGCTTTACTAGGTGAGGATGTTGTAGAGCTGAAATCAAGCCAATCTCCGTCACGAACTCACGGTTTCCTTGCTTCGATCTAGCAGATAGTTGCTTGACAGCGTTTCCGTGTCATCTGCTAGAATTCCCTGCGGTTTGAAAAGCATTACACCGGGGTTCAACAGCATCAAACCACATGGTGAAGGAATGTGTAGCACATGATAGATAGATAGATACCTTGTAAACAGGACCGAAACCACCTTCGCCAATCTTATTAGCAACATCAAAGTCGTTTGTAGCCGCTTTAATTTGCCTTAAGGTGAAGGAAGTAGTCTGCACTCTATACCTTTCAGATCTGTCGAAAAAGCAAAGCAAAATATGCAAGAAACATTTACTCATAACATAATGTCTAAATAACATCTCTGCATTTCTATATTATGTCCACTATTTGGTGCAAAAAATGGTGAAATGGCCAATAGGTGGGTATATTTCACTGTCATTACATGTCTCATGAAGCTCGGACGTAACAGAACAGATTAAATTCTCTCTAAATACCTCGTTCCAATGTACTCCTTCGTCTTAAGCAGCCAGTCCACCAAAGGATGCCGCCCACGATCAGAGAAGTAGCAAATATTGCTGCAGCCACAATACCGACCTCCGCAGCTGCGCTGATACCATCCCCCCTTTCCGATTGAGGTTTATAAACTGGAATTGAAGAAATTCAATTAAACTTAGCTGCAAGAATAAGTTAACACAAGTGGTAAATATTGCAACTAGTTAATAGGGTCACCCTTAAGTGAGTATTCCTAGAATCTTGAGGAACAAAGTGGTGTGATCCAAACTGAAATTTCATAGCTAAATGAA